ATGCAAACTGTGATTCTGAATCCTACAGAGTTTATTTATTTTAAAAATGTCAAAGTAGAGATTTACAAAACAATATGAGATTGCAATGTTCTGACTCCAAAAAATCCTGTCCTGACTTTATCGTTCCATCCTGTTCCAACTTTCCATTTGTTGAATATGTTGAATATCACCTGTTCCAACGTTACTGGAATGGAACCAGTCTGAACATGGACTGTTTCAACCTCCATTCCGTAGTTGGAACAGGCTGCTTCATTCCCATAAAATCACAACAATTAATTCCAACAGCATCCTGCTGGCGAGGTTGGAACAGGAAGTTGCCTCTGTTTAAAAGTTCTTTATTAGGGCAATCTAGCCAAGACTCTCTCTCTCTCCACATATATATATATATATAATATTTGTAGCTTTATTTTATATATATACAGTATACACAAAATAAAGTTACAAATATAATATTCCAATACATTCTAAAAATTCTCCAATTGTCAATAAACATGCAGTATAATTGTTAGCCTTCTCTAATAGTTAATTTAATCATACAGATCATTGGCTGGGTTTGACATCAGACGGTTTAAAAGCAGGTTTTTAGCTGCAATTTGTTGATCAAGCTACATCAGTGTTTCTCAAATTTGATAACTTTAAGACATGTGCACCTCGATTCCCAGAATTCCCCTGTCAACAGTGCTGAACCATCAGGTAGTATGGTTTGGAACGCCGTGCAAAACCAGTCAGTTACGTTTTGTTAATAAACCATATGCAAACCCAGTCAGTCTTGGCTTGTGCACAGTACTAAGTGTAATATGGGAGGGGTTGTGTATTATAATAAAAAACAAGCCAGCTACTTGACTTAGCATTAGGCGTGAACCAGATCCACGTCCCTAATCTTGGAGGAACAATCTGTTATGGGGAGAGTGAAAATGTCAGTCCTCTGTGTTTCAGCAGTGGCTGATGAAAATATCATGGCAAGAAGCCTCAGTAATAAATACAATAAAATTTACAAACGACTTGTACATCCTCAGATTTTATATCTGAATGTGCATAAACCTATTTGTATTTGATTTACACACAAGTGTGCATAACTGCATGCACAGTTTTCCATTTTGGAACCTGTAACTGTGCTCAGGTGTTGTGATAATCGCAATTCATTGCAGAGTTTTACACACCTTTCTGCCGGTGGCTGTCATCCAGGCAGTTTGAGTCCCCGTACAAAACTATCCTGCCCCCACCTTCTGAAGGAACTTGGAAGAGGCCCAAAATGGGGACATGTTCGACTATTGCTGTCTCCTGCTTTAAAACTTCAAGACCTGGGAAGAAAAGGAAAGAGGGAAGGGGTCAAACAGCATCAAACAGCACCCAGAAGCTATAACCACTCCAGAATACAAGCGGCACGTGCAGTGATGGGCATAGTTCGGTGTGCCTGTGTAACACCTCTGCTTCTGGTTGCCAGTTTGCTTTCAAGTGCAATTCAAGGTGCTGGTTGTTACCTATAAAGCCCTACATAGCACAGGGCCTGGCTCCTTGAGGGACCACCTGTCTGCCATAGCATCTGCTTAGCCAATTCAATCGGGCAGGGTTGGCGCATTCTGGGTTCCTTCAAGTAAGCAATGCCATCCATCAGGACCCCAGAAGCACACCTTCTCTGTAGCAGCGCCTGGCCTCTGGAACGAGGTTCCCCCCCCACCCCGAGACCCAGATGGCTCCCACTCTACTGTTGTTCAGAAGAGGCATAAACACATGGCTCTTCACTTAGCTTCTGGGACCAATTAAAAAAGCTGGTTGTCGCCCTTAAAGCTCCTGAAGTCTGGATATCTATGCCCAACCAGTAAGACTGGGAAGAGAGGGTTTTCTGAGGCTCCCTTTTTTGACAGAAGGTCATCTACAGGGACCCTAGGGGTGAGACCTTTCAGTGATGGTTGAACATCACTTCTATGGAACAGCTTACTCCAGGCCTCCAAGCCTCTTCTATCTCACTGAGCTTCTGAAGGGCTCTTTAGGAACATATTCAGGATGCCACAGTTTAGCCTACCACTGTAGGTGACACTATTCACAGTGCACTAATTGTTATTTTATGCTGGCACTTCAAATGTCAGGTGTTTGTAATCTTATATTTTGGCATTCAGAAAGCTGCTTATGGGCGTAGGAGTCTTAGGGAATAAAATAATATAACAGAGGATCAAAACACATTCCCTCAGACAGAAATGTAAAATACAATTTCCTTCTTTTCATATGCACTTATTATACTTTAAATAACACATTTCCTGTATCTTCCAATGAACAGATTACCTAAATTAAAGGCATGCAAATGCCAAGCTTTTCTATGCTTTTCTTGTTAAAGGAAAACAGAAGATTCAAGACCATATCTAGAAGAACATTAAACACAAAGAGGAACTCAATACCTTGATCCTTAAAAGTCTGTGCAATTACAATGCCATCTTCTGGAAATTTTGCAATACTACATCCTGAGGCATAATTCACTGAAAATAATATATACATAGATCTGTGTTAGACAATTCTAGTACATCTTAATTAGAAAACTGTAGCCAATGATTTGTCAGTAAATTTTTATCAGTTCTTCTTCTATCACATTAAAAGTTACAATGCCATGGCTGTTTCTGGCATGGACCAGGGATTAGGGGGTTGCATGAAGCCCTGAGACATACAGAGTGCCTCCATGTCCTACAAGAAATAAAAGTCCTTGCAGGATCCAGAACTGGCAATCAAGTGCCATTACTTATCTCTCCCAGCTCCTATGTGCATCTCATTCTATTCCAGGCAATACTAAGAGATCTGTCTACAAGTCCTTTGGGTACATTTCCTCTTATTTCTTCTCAACCTTGACTCTTCTGAAGAATGCTTCTTCCACTTTTCCTTCCCTCAGGCCTCCATTTATCCGTTCCTCAGATTTCTATTTCTCAATCTACTGTCTCCTGTATTCCAAGCTCCAAATTCCTTTTGTGACTATGTTGTCCTTAGCTAGCTTACCACTGGGAGATCTCCCTCCCCTCCCTCCCTCTCTCTCTCATTCATAAAATGAAAATCACAATGGCTTGCCTTATATAGATGGGTGAAAGAAGTTAAGATATATATGACAGTACATGAAAAGGGCATCATGAATGACCTCATTCACTCAGAGATATAGAAATACTGGAGGAAATGGGAAGGAGAATGAAGCAATTGATCTATCTGATCTTTATCAAACCAAAAGGAAAGTGTTGAAAGTTCTGACAAGTAATGGAATCTGCTAACATTATGCTTTCAGAAAACTATAAGGACTGTTGCTTGTTCTTTACATGTTAGACTCACTGTGTGAAGCCCACTTCAAGGACAACCTGAATGTGGTCTTTGACTGATGTGTTTGTACGTGTCTTGGATTAAGTCCCATTGGACATAGTGAAACCACGGTTATTTGTCCTTCAGTTTGGCCTTTATCATCTCTTCCCTGAGACATTAACAAATCTCAGGCCTCATTTAGATAAGTGGCCAGTGACATCACAAGCTGTTTGATGACTGTAGCACTTCAGACCACAGATGGGAAATTCTTCTTCAGCAGAAAAGAATCTCCTTACAGACAGAAGTTCTGAATGTTACAGATACGTTGAAAAAGCCTTTCCAGATCACGGCCCCCCAAAGATGGCTGGCATACAATTCCCACTACCCCTTGTCAGCTTGATCAGCAGTCAGGTGATGAGAAATGTAGTATGATAACACCGGGAGATCCAGGCTTGGGCTGTCTTTCTGTATCAGTTTTTTAAAAAATATATATATACAAGTCACTTCTATGGAACTGCATTCAATCCCTAGGTATCCAACAGAAGCCACAATGGTGTCATGCAACCAATGCAAAGTACATAATTTGTGTTATTTGCATAATGTCATGACGCTCGTACTGTCACTTGACCCTCCTTGCCACTCCTGCACCCACATCACTGCAATTTCAAGTGTTACTGTTTGAGAATATCTTTGCTCATCAATGGGTTTCCTCTTAGCTGTCACCTACTCCTAAGTTCTGTATACTTACTCTCCTGGCTTTCCAAGGTATAATCTCCTTCATAGAGCCCATCACTAAAGGCCATGCCCCAGACGGACAGAAGATCG